CTTCTACTCGGAGGTATCCTTCGGTAAAGGGGACCGCCAAGAGGGGAGAGCTCATGCGTGAGACCACAGATAGAATGCTTACTCCCGATTCCCTCGAGGACGAAAAGGTTAGATCGGTCCCTTTGAGCATATTCGAATTATTTCAAAGCCCTAGCACTTTTGGCATTCACGCTCATGGACCATTCTGTTTAAGGTAGCGCTTCTACTAGAATAATAATCTTTCCCTCACACTAGCATGGAGAAAAGTCTGAGGACTGGTGATAACCCAATTAAACCAGAGGCTTGCCCATTATTCTTGTCTTCGTTTAATAGATAATAGTGTAAAAATAGTTTGACTCGTTTCACTTCAGAGTGATAAGATTATCTCCCAAGTGGAATGGCTCAATATACAGAGTGACCATCAAGGCGTAGTTTTAAAGAGTTAAGGTCATTTCTGAAAAGTCATTATCCATTATCAATATTAAGACTACCCGGAATCAAAAACTGACATTATTATTAGGCCCAAGTTGAAGTAGGATTAATAACTGTGTTGATAAGAGTCAATTTTCCACCGTAAAAAGATTGAAATGCACAAGCCCTTCGTCAGAGCGAACCAAAGAATTGTGAGTGTGTGATTTACATATCGACTGGTGGAGCAATGCTATTGGCGGGACCATGGTAACATGAAAAACAAGAATATATTAGTTGAAAAGCGAAATAAACGCTAAGCTAGATAGAGGACGATGCAGGAAAAAAACTTTCAGGGTGTAAATGCGTGGTTTTGTCTTTTTGTTACAACGAAAAACGCTAGGCAAAATCATACTTGACACGAGGCAGAATTTCAATGTAGAAACACGTATACTTTCTAACGTATCTGTTCAATAGCTTCAAGAGATATTTACCCCCCATATCCAGTACTTACAACTGAAGCATATCAACGATATTGCATCAACATCGTTCGAGCTGGTCAGGTCAACTTAATTTGATTAACAATGCAACTTCTGTTCGGCTGACCACAATTAAAATCAAAACCAAATTTTATTTGTTTAACATTGATCGGCCATAGCTTTATAATGAGAAGAACATTGGGGGCTGCTGAACGCATCAAACTACATCCCACAGGCTAAGGTATACCGCAATTCAATATTGAAATCACCGCCCTCTCCAATATCACCCTATAAAACGGTGCGTCAGATGTGAGAAGACTGACAATCGGTGGAACTGACAAGAAATTTTTACCACTAACTCAGCGAGCGCGCTACTTATCAGTGAGCGCGCTACTGAACTATATCCTGCGTTCTCGTTTAAAATATCTGCGCCGATTTACTGTTGTTGCTATTGTTGCCAGTTTGTTTCTTTTCCGTGTACCTGCCCTTAACAACCCTGATACCATAATATAGACATAGTAAACTTCCTTGGGTTAAAAATGAAAGTTCTTAATAGGGAAAATAACCTCACAGGTTATAATAAGAAAACAGATTACGTAAGTTAGCTGCTGAGACATGGTGTTTCAGCTACTCAAAGTAATTTTAGACTGTTAGTTAATTTTAAAGTTTCAGCGTTGCCGGGTAAGTTAGTTTAAGAACCCTTAGAACTGAGTTTATCTTGGGATATTGTCAGCATTTTTTCAGTGTTTATATCTTCCTTAATTACGAAACCTGCGTCATCGTTTGATATTAAAACCCTAGGGTTCACGACGTTTCCCTCCCGGTTGCATTTTTGACCTTTTTCCTAAAGTCCTTAAAATAACTAAAAGTGTCGCGATAACTTGTTAAACTCAGTTAATTTTACTCCAATGTTTACACGCTAGCATCAAATTAAACCTTTTTTTTT